AGCCAAAGTTAGATCAAACACTTACCTCGGTCTAAAGAATAGCAATCAATCCTCAAATACCGCCTTTCCTCTACAATCCGATCCCGAAACAATGATATCTAGGCATAATTAATTCAATAATATCAATAAAGACTCAATGGCAACATCCCATAGCCTAGATATGAATTTCCTAGCATTCTTCCAAAAATACCAAAATTCGACACCGGGCCCACATGGTCCAAACACGAGACTCGGACCAAAACCCAATCACCCATAACCCCACGAGTTCAAATATGCAATTTGTTTTAAGATTCGACCCGAAATTGAGGTTGAATCACCCAAAATTCTCCAAACCCTAACTCTACCCAAAACCCCTAATTTCTACTCTAGATTACATGATTTAGGCTTAGAAACTCACTAATCAATGAAGGAAAATGAAAGAAATAAGTGGGAATTTACTTACCCAAGATGTCTTGATGAAAGGAAGCTTCAATGGAGGACTAAGGGTCTTGGAGAAGAAGGAACTCGCATGTTTTTATGAAAATTTCGCGACCATACTGTTCTGAAATTAAAAATATAACTGGGCAAAAATGCCCTATGCGATCGCGGAGAAGGCACTGCGATCGCATAGGGTAAAGGGAGTAAAGCATTGCGATCGCGGAAGGCGTGTTGCGAACGCATAGAGGAAATATGACTGGGTAAGAAAAATGCTCTATGTGATCGCGAAGAGGACAATGCGATCGCATAGGGATGGGAAAGCTGGGCATTGTGATCGCGCAAGGGCTGTTGCGATCGCATAGAACAAAACTAGGCTCTTGAATTTTTACACTATGCGATCGCGGGAGAAGCTATGTGATCGCATAGAACAATGTACCAGATACCAGAACTGAGCATTTTCTGCAATTTTTTCTAAGTTCAAAACACTCGGAACCACCTCCGAATCACTCCCGAGCCCTCGGGGCTCCCAACCAATCACACACACTAACTCAACAACATCCTACGAACTTACTCGAGCGATCAAATCGCCAAAATAACATCAAAATCAATGAATCAAACCTCAAAATCATCATTTTTCATTCTAACTTCACAAACTTCAAACTTTAGATATTTAGGTCCGAAACACGCCAAGTGACGTCCGTTTTCGACCAAACTTTACAGAAAGCACTTAACACATATTTAAGACTTGTACCGGGCGTCGGAACCAAAATACGAGCCCGATACCATAGTCTTTTAATCAATTTTCATTTCCATTTTCCTTAATAATTTCAGAAAAACAATTTCACAGAAAAATTCTTTTACTCGGGCTCTAGACCTCGGATTTCGACTCCGGGCACATGCCCGAGTCCCATATTTTTCTACGGACACTCCGGAACCGTCAAATCACGGGTCCGGGTCCGTTTACTAAAAATATTGACCGAAGTCAACTTTAATCATTTTAAAGCCACATTTTGAATTTTTTTTCACAGAATTTAACATATAATCTTTCTGGCTACGCGCCCGGACTGCGCACGCAAATCGAGGCAAGTAAAAATGAGGTTTTCAAGGCCTCAGAAGCGCGGAATGAATGAGGAAACAGGTGATGACCCTTTGGGTCGTCACAATCCGGAGTCCTCAGAAAATCCCTCAAAATTTCATCATCGTCGATGTTTAACTCCGAGTAAAAAGCAACCCCTTGCGGAGTGACGGAATACAGATATCTTCCGGTTACTTTATGTATCACTGAACGTTTCCTCACACTCATTTTTTTGCATAACAACGATATCAATTTATCGTACTCCATTGTAAGTGGTAATTTAACATGACCCTGTGGAGATAAACTGTACCTCACAGAGTTATTCTCCATCACAACCTCACCCCCCAATATAATGAAACTCTTATTCTACGCTCTTCAGACATTATGAAAAAATACTTGAAAATTTAACAAGAAGAAAAGTTTGAACGGGAGTTAGAATTTTTTGTGAATGGATTTTCCTAAAATCCTAACCCCTTTATATAGGAAATGGCTAGCCGGGGGGGGGGGGGGGGCTGAAATTTTTGATGTATAGCGCTCTTTGAATGTGCGCTATACACATTTGAATTATTGTTATGTCAGTTAACTTATTGGTGGGCCCATAAACAGGTATAGCGTTTTAATTCCAAGCGCTATACATATATAGCGTTTTAATTCCAGGCGCTATACCTGGCAGTCAAGTCGTCAGAGTATAGCGCACTGATTTCCGGCGCTAAAAAGTATATCGCACTTATTTCTTGCGCTATACCTTAACGGCAAAAGTTATCGTTAAGATATAGCGCCTCGAATTTCGGCGTTATATATAGAAAAGTAACTTTTATTTTTTACACTTATTAATGTCACATTTATCCAAAAAGATAATAAAAAAGATCCGGACTCGAAGCGGCTTTAGTCCAGTGTACGATTGAAAATGACTGGAGGAGGTTTATAGCTTCCATGACAAGCCAAAAGAACTCTTCAACTCTGTATTGAAAAGTTATGATTACAGCCCCCTTTCTTTTGTCAGAATAAGGGAGATGAAAAGACAGAATCTTTTTGTTGTACCAGACACTTATGAAATGGACCGCCTTTTCTTTTTCTATTGGGATTCTAGTACTCGTCACTATTACGAGGAAATAGGAAAAATGCTGACTCCTACTTCGGTGTGCCGTGCACGTGACCGAGAGATAAAAGAAAAACAATTGAACACTTCAAATTAGCAAAATAAGAAACTGCTACTACTTGGCATCCTTCACATGGAAGTGTAATGCATTTGCTGCCACATGAATATTTGTGTCCATATGTTAATTTTTTTTAAAATAAAATTTATTTCTTAAATTTATAAATTGTTTATTTTTGGGGTAGAATTTGTTAAAAAAGATATGTAAGGAACTCCAGTATTTAGTCTATCTTTTTTATTTGGTTAAACAATTCTTTTAATTGATTTGAGCCGAAAAGGAAGAAATAAGACTGACTTTACTTTAGTATTAAAATAAAATTTATTTCTTAAATTTATAAATTGTTTATTTTTGGGGTAGAATTTGTTAAAAAAGATATGTAAGGAACTCCAGTATTTAGTCTATCTTTTTTATTTGGTTAAACAATTCTTTTAATTGATTTGAGCCGAAAAGGAAGAAATAAGACTGACTTTGCTTTAGTATTATTTCCTAAACGCATGATTTCTAACCATCAATTCAGGTCTATGGCCATTTTAAACAATCACAAAACATATACTTGCCCGGTCCACAATAAGTGACCAATTTGATTTTTTATTTTGGTTCAAAATAAGTATTTATTTATATAATAAAAAAAATCAATTTTTTTTCAAAATTATCATTATGTACGTATCCCTAAAAAGTCATTTACTTCTCACAGTTGAGAAGAGAAGTAAGTGCTACTATAACTATGATGCAACATTTAATGAAGGGTAGTTTAGTTACGCTAACTATTTTCATCTAGAATTTAGTATTTTCTTAATGAGTGTGTCCAAACCAAATTGGTCACTTATTGTTGTTTGACCAAAAAAGTATGAGACCTTTTTGTTAAACTAATTAAATAAGAAGATAGAGGGTAAATCCTAGTTAAAGATAATTAATTCTAGATCTGAGATGAATAACATGAATAGAAAAATATAGTTGAGTATAAATGCAGGCAGTGATTATGGCCAGATTTAATAGCATGAAAAAAGATGTATTAAGTAACATTAAAATGACAATAAAATGTAAATAAAGGAAAAGATTCACCCAATCTTCAGTGAGGCGGATCCTCTTTCATTTGATAAAGATGAATGATAGACAAATACAAGAATTTTAGGACCCTTTTCGGATCTGATGGAAGGTATGGGATAACAAATAATCTAATCTCTTTAGAGAGATGTGTTTGCATATTTTCTAGAGAGAGAGTGTGCCCCCTTTCAGAAGTCCTCCTCTCTTCCTATTTATAAGGGATATTCCTATAAAACCCTAAAAAAGAGTACAATTGGAGGGAATATTCAATAAATATTCCCTTTGAAGATTCCAAAGCAAAACTAGCCGTTAATTCTATCTGCACTGCTCGACCTCGGCCTTATTGATCACTGCTCGGCCTCAGCCTTATAGATCATTGCTCGGCTTCGGCCTTATTGATCAATTCGGTTCGCAGGTTACTCATGACATTCGTCTCCGCATTGTCGAATTTCTCTGATTTGATTTTGACCCATACAATTGTGGACCGGAGGGAGTACTTAACAAATACGACGTAGGTCCAACTTATTGATCTTGATAGGAGCAGTTTTGTACTAAATGTCTAAGGGAATGAATTACACAGGTAGAATAGCTATGTGATCCAACATTTGAATACACAGTGGAAACAAATCATCATTGCATTTTTGTTGTATCTTGACAAAAAAAATATTTTCGGCAAAAATCAATGGGCTCAAGCCATTTTCCAAGAATTTGCCCAAAGAAATAAGTAGACAACTAAAATAAACAGTTTATTGTATCTGAAAAAACAAATGCATACTTGAAACTCCAATAATTGGCCAAAGTTTTGGAGTTTCGATCACGTTATTTAATTATTTATAAATTTTACCTAAAAAAGAAAATATATATAAGCCAGAACAAGTAACTACTGCGCATAAAGAAAATAAAAAATATAAAGTCAAGATAAAGCATGTGCGATATATTAGAAGAAGTAAGAAGAACTACGTAACCGGAACAAATAAATTACTGTATACGACTCTATATATGACATAATTTATATGACCAAAGACATTATTTATGCGCAATTTATTTGTTGCATTGAGGTGTTTGAAAATAAAAACATGAGACTAATTTATAGTTCATGACAAATTCCGTAGATTGTTACGTATATTATTATTACGATATATATTAGAAATATTTCATGTCCATAATCTTGATGGAGTTCCATTCGTAGGAAGAAAAGAAAGTAAGCAAAAATATAAATAGATACCTGCTAATTCATAGACTAGAATAATAATGTAAATTTGAGTTTAGGCTGCGTGCGTGCTCCTGACAAATTAATTAGACAAGACCTTCAAAATCCATAATCACGCCTTTTTGTATTCTGTTATCTCCTTCATTTTTGCCTCTTTCAATTCTTATTCCACTTCTTCAGTTCCTAATCTCTCTTCATTTTGTCTTTCAGCCTCTTCATTTCCCTAAATTCTTCTTCAGTCCAAACTTGTCTCTCTCAACTACATTTATAGCTGTCTTCTTTAATTTTCTTCTTTCGCTCTGAACAAACAATGGCGGATGATGCAGGTTCCGGCTCCAGCTTTACGGACCAAGCACAAAATCAGCGAACAGCTCAAAAACTTACTCCTTTTTCAAAAGTGTGGAGCGATGAAGATGAAGTCTCACTACTTAAAGGTATTATCAAGTTCCGTAAAGAAAAAGGACTTGATATACAGACAAATATGTTGCTATTTTATAATTACATTATAGATTCTCTTATGCTTCGAGCGACATTAACTCAGTTAAGAGAAAAAGTTAGAGCTTTGAGGATAAAACATGAGAAAAATGTTAGCGGTAAAAAGAGTCCAAAAACTCCACATGAGGTGGAGTTGTTCCAGTTGTCTCAAAAAATATGGATGGTTAATGCCAAAGAATCTGAACACCAAAAAGAGTATGTAGGCGGGAAATCGGAAACCCCAAACACATCGGAACCCAGGCAGCCAATAAAACAGAACTTACTGGAAAATTGGATGTCGGAGCAACACATTCCAGAAATTGAACAGCCAACACAGGAAATAATACCGAAAATTGGGCTGGGTTCGCAGCATCTGCTAGTACTGCTAAAGCGTATAGCAGAAGATGTAGAACTTGTAGCAAATGCTATGTCACGTTCTCAAAGGCAAGTTGATGGAGAACGGTCCGATCTTTATTTTCAAAGCACAGATTTACTTGTGAAGTTTGGGAGAGTGGTGAAGGAGATCAAAGCGAAACCAGAAATGGTAAAATCTTGCTCAGTTTTCTCATTCATTTCCTTTGATTCAATAGCAAATTTAATCATATTATTCTCATGCCTTAATTAGCATTTATGGAGTTTGCAATTACAGTGTCTTGTGTGAAACTAGTTCTTATTAACATGTCAAACTTGTCCAGTCTTTGTTTAAATATTTTGGTTTTAAATGGTTAGCATCTATAGTTTCTTTTTTTTTGGTAGGCTAAGCTGAATGTCTTGTTATACTTCTCTAATAGCTTCTTCGCATATATTTGCCACTCTCATCTTAATGAGCTGTTTTAGGTCCTCTCTTTCTGAATAAAATTTAAAAATCTCAGTGACTTCTATGATCTTTGAGCGTGTTTGAATTATATTTCAGAGACATTCTTCTGAACTACTTGAACAAGAGATCTTAAAAGCCTACTTGGAAGCGAAGATAGAGCACGCACAATTAGTTTCAAATGCCTATAATACTTTCATTCAGGTAACCATTTTATCTCCTTTGGTTCAAGAGTATCCTGAGTTTCAATTAATTTCCGGTTGGTTTTTTTTTGCAAGGTTGATGTTGCTGTAGCTGCTCCGACCAAACCCATGAAGAAAGGTTTGATCTTCTGCCTCTCTTTGTTTGTGGATTTTAAGCTTTTGTTCTATTTGCTTTGTTTGTGTACGGATCTTAGAGTTCATGTTGTATGAGCACAAAAATACTTTTTTCATGTACCCTTTTACCATTGGAAAATCAAAGAATTGTTTCTTGGTAGAGGAGGAGATATTTGGTTGGTGGTGTGACTAATTCATGCATGTTTACAGGGAAGAGAGAAGCAGAGAATGAAATTGAGAAGTTAGTGAGTACAAAGAAGCAAAAGAAGCATTTGGCTGTAGCACAAGCTGCTGAGAAAAAGCAAAGCGATGCAAAGGCTCAGAAGAAGAAGAAGAAACAAGAAACCAGTTCCTGTGACGATAGCTCTCAGCCAGAAGACGAGAAGAAGGTAATACATGCACTAACCATTTTCATCTAGCCAAGTTATTGAGTGCAGAATTTTGATTTATAATTGTATTGTCTGAACATGGGATGTTTTGTGCACCGGGCTGCCTTTTTCATTGCATTGCATAGTGTCTGTTGGCTGCATCTAGATATGTAGTCATATAATTGATAACATGGGGTCTCATTCTTATTTTGTTACTATATATTTGCAGCTTACTGAAGCAGCGACACCTCCTAAGAAAGTGACTCCTGCCAAAAATGAAAAATTAGCCAGCAGTTCAGATGATTCAGATTCTTATGGCGAGGATGAAGTAATACCTCTTAACATAGCATATTTTTGATATATTTTGGCCAGTGATGTAACTAACTCTGCTTCTGTTTATGTATAGGCTCCTTCTAAGAAGGCTGTTGCAACTTCAAGTAAGAATGGTCTTGCTGCTAAGAAGAATGATGATCCGAGTGATGATTCTAATTCTGAGGAAGATAGCAGTTCTGAAGCCAAGAAACCTCCTGCTAATGGCTCTGCTGCAGCTTCTAAGAAAGACGAGTCAAGTGATGAGTCTAGTTCTGAGGATGATAGCAGCAGCTCCGAGGAGGAGGAGGCGCCTGCTGCTGCCTCAAAAAAGGAAGAATCTAGTGATGATGATGATGATGTAAGGGCATATGGAGTTGATGAAATTGGTGCTATATTGATATTTTAATAATGTTACTATAGTTGATTTTCTTTTTGACAGGAGCCTCCGTCTAAGGTAGTTTCTCAACCAACAAAAGCTCCTCAAGCTGTGAAAAAGAATAGTGACAGCTCTGAAGAAACCGACTCTGATGAAGATGATTCTGATTCGGACAAGGTTTGACCACTTGATATTTGATTTGTATTATTTTTGTCCTCTTGCTATCCCATGAAATCCTTAATTTATTTACTTAAGTGAGTATTTTACTTGCCTTTTGAGTATCTTATCATATTTTGCTTGCATTTGCATGTTGTCTGATAATTTTCTTTCTTTAGGGAAAGGCTGCTGCTGTATGTAAAAAGGAGGTAGGCTGGCAAAATCCTCATCTTCTACTTTTATTTTTTATTTACTTTGACAAGTCTCCATCTTCTTTTTAATTGTATTTCATAATGTTCTACTTGGCAATAAGATGAACCTTTTCCTTTCGTTCGTGCAATTCAGAAATGAACATCTATGGTAATCAATCTTTTCTTTAAGAAGCTTATTTTTTTATAGGTGAAATGACATTACATCCCTTTACTTCTGATATATCATCTTCGACGATGAATCATTTTAACCAACAAAAAAATCTATCTCCATTTCTTTGACTTGATGTTAGTAATTTGTTAGCCTCGGTTGACATTCTGTAGTTCATTGCTTTCCCCATCCTTTGCAGGTTCCTTCATCTGCAGACAGTGATGATGAGAGCGAGGATGATACTTCTGGAGAAAGTGATGAAGAACAGCGTCGAAAGAAAAAGATCAAGGTCTGGACGTGTTTCATTCGTGATATTCCAACTTGTAATTCCTTTTAGTTCATTGTCTAACAATTGTGTTTTACAGCCCTCTAGCACTCCAACTGTCTCAAATTCTCGAAAGGAGAGTAGTTTTGAGGAAGATGTACCTGCAGCCAAGATACCTCCTGCTAATGGCTCTGCTGCAGCTTCTAAGAAAAACGAGTCAAGTGACGAGTCTAGTGCTGAGGACGATAGCAGCTCTGAGGAGGAGGAGGAGGAGGATGCTGTTAATGAGGCTCCTACTGCTGCGACCTCTAAAATGGAAGAATCCAGCGACGAGTCTAGTTCAGATGATGAGGTAAGGGCATATGTTAAGTGATATATGCAAATATTCCAACTTGTATTTCATTTTAGTTCATCATTTAACAATTGTGTTTCACAGCCCTCTAGCACTCCAGCTGTCTCAAAGAAGGAGAGTAGTTCTGAGGAATCTTCTGATGAAGTCGAGTCCTCTGAAGAAAATGAGGATGAAAAACCATCGAGAACTCCCAAGAAGGTAATATTTTCGTATCTTTTGGGTTGATCAGAATATTCCTTTTTGGCATAACTAGATGATCTGCATCTCTTCCGGCGGATTTCATAATTAGTTATAGCTTCGTTATTACAGTTGGTTGAGCTGCACTATTTGTTATGTCTCGTTGCTTTACAAAATTATATTTGCGTTTTGCATTTTACTTAAAACTATGCTGTTCAAAGTGCAGCAAAAGACCCCTATTCCTCCTAAAGCTCAAACTCCGGGATCAAAAACATTGTTTGTTGGAAATCTACCCAACTCGGTTGAGGATGGTTCTTTTCAGGGCTCATGTTGAATTTGTCACTGCACAGAAGGTAAGTTATTTTCTCTGTAACAAAGCTGCTAGTCTGATGCATGCTGCCAGATGAAAAAAAAAAGAAAGGCTTAAAGAGGCTAAATCACCACCTGCATTTTCTTGAACCGATAAACAGCCAAGCTCTATCGATTAGTTTGGGTTATTTGTCCGTAAATTAAGACATGGATAATTGCATTCTATTAATTGATGCATTGTGGTTCTTCCCAGTTCTTTGCTTGTATTTCGTTTTTGCATTCAATTCTAACAAATTCTGTTCACTTTGTTAGTTTTACTTTGTTACTCTTGATGTTTCTCTGAACAAGCGCACGGTGATGTGATTATCTACTTGTACGGATAATATGCAATGCTTCTTGTTGATGCCCGATAGTTACTCAGTTTTGCTACTGATATCTTATTATACATGATCTATATGAAAGTTTAAAATATATTCTACCAGAGTGTTATACTCGTCTCCTTTTGGTTTTCTGGCCCATCTTGTAGGATCTTGGTGATGCAGCGTGATTGCTATTAATGGCTGAAGCTTCAGGATATGACAAACTAACGTTGTTTTTTGTGTTCTTGAAAGCATTAACAACTACTAGCTTTTTTGGATGTGGTGTCTAGTAGCATACTATATCTGTTTATATTTTTACAAACTGTTATTTTTATGACTCTAAGATTGGCTCTTGGATGCTTGTTTTTGTAGCTGACAAGACATGGGTTTCATACTGAACTTTACAGGCCTATGTTATCTTATATATGAAAGCTTGTTCTAACTGAAGTTAAGGTTAATCGGAGCTGTATCTAGCTGAAGTTAGATCTTTATCCCTGCTTCAATTAAATTAGCTAAACTAGAAGGCAACATATTCGGATCAAATAATGGAATTTGTGAAATAAAATAAATAAAAATGGCATAAAAGACAAGTTTGTATTAGTCTTTTTCTTATCCATATGATTTTGGACAATACTCGCCTCTCGAGCTAGCTTTTAAGGTTGAGTTAGGCTCAGCTTGATTCCACTTCATGAAAACCTTTTTGACATTTTTTTTTCATCGATGCTTCTTTATTCCCATTATCTAGTTTTCTAGCACTTGAATAATATGCGATCCTTCAATTTCTCCTCGCACCTCGTCAACGCCCTTCAGGTCAGCCAATCTACTGCTGTCCACAAAAGGCTTCAATTCCTGATTAAGACCAAAACCAATATTGCTGAGTTTCCCATAGTAATTAGGTTCCAAAGCAGTCATCATCTACAATAATTATAAACGGGTAAAAGGGAGATTAAAATATTTCTGGACCATTTCTCATCCCTTTCCTTTCCTTTAAGGGGCAAGAATTGGTGTGATAGACCCGCTCAGCCTGGTACGCATAGCGGGAGTTTAGTGCACCGGGCACCCGCTCAGCCTGGTATTTAAACTTTTTCCCCCATTTTTAAAAGTTGTTTAAATATAGGCTTCTTTCGTTTTACAGGCAACACAAATAAACTTTTTTACCCTTCCATTCTTTTCTTCCACAACATAACAATGCACACCATACACAAGTCATAATATGGTGAGAATATTTGGTCAAATTAGTGTGAATGTTCCCCTAGTTTGGTACTTGTCAGGCTTACATCTTTCCACCTTCTTAAAACACAAAATGGGCGGATTACAAGCTGGTACACATGTATTTGGTCCCAAAAGGCTTGAAACAAATCACAGTTGTATCCTGCTGCTATTAGTCAAAATTTAGTTTTATTTTTCTTTTCCTTTCTAATATTTCTATTTATGTGTCACAAGTTATCACTATAGGCTGATAGCCTCTTCTCAAATACGCCGAGCTCTCAATCCAGGTCGCAGTAGTGTTATGTGTTATGGATGATAAAAATAGATCTCCTTTAAAATACAATATATTATATGCATCTTGGCAAGTTTTGACGGTCCATCACGACCTGCGAACAATTTAACAAGATAGATAGATTGAAAGTAGTATCAAGTTTTGTCAATTCGTCATAACTTGTGAACAATTGAACAAGATAGGTAGAATTAAGATAATACCAAGTTCCGTCAATCTGTCATGACTACTGAACAATTGAACAAATACGTAGCAAGAAAACAGTAACAGCTAAACAAAATAGATAGAATGGAGATAGAACTCTGTCAATCTGTATTGACTAATGAACAATTGAACAAAATTGGAGTCCGAAATTTTTCTAATGCCTTTTTGGGCACAAAACACGTTTTTACTACTAAAAAAAAAAGTTACGTAAATAAGTAAAACGCAATACTATACTGCGAATTACTTTAACAAAAATTTAGTCGTTAAAGTAATTCGCAGTACAGTACTGCGTATTATTAAAAAACTATTTTTTTTAACAAATTCGCAGTACAATACCGCGAATTACTTAATCGCAGTACTATACTGCGATTTTCTTATTAATTTGGCCCCACCAATAATTAACTGACATAACGATAATTCAAACACATAAAACGTGGTATTGTACTGCGAATTCCTTAAAAAATTTCTGCACCCCAAGCTCGGACTTGCCTTATTTAAAGGCGTTTCAATTTTATGAAAATTCATTCAATACAAACTTCATCTGTTTCCTTTGTGCAGTGATGGTTTTAGTTCTACTGTTTGTTTTTGTGTTAGGTTTGCAAGGTTTGTGTTTGTGTTGTACTGTTTAAGTAAAATTGCTGTTCAAAAGCAATTAAAATAAAATTATTGTTAAAAGATAATTGTTACCATTATTTCCATAATGCACTATTTACATAAAGTAAAAACATAAGTAAATCAGCGAGTCCCGCAGCCTGTGTGCTTCAGTGCTGCTGCCGGCCTAAGTCGCATCCCCTGTCGCCCAGGTACACTATCTGGATCATCGTCATCAAGCCGCCTCTTTATGTGAGGATGTGCAGCAGCATCGACACCACAGCTGGCAGGATCGGAAGAATAGGCCGTCGGGCCGTCAACAACCTACAAAACAAGTAGTAATCTTAGCATGTGAAAAAGTATATTTGTATTATACGTGTTGAGTCAAAAACATTTTCTCGCCGTGGTCTCGTCGGCCGCCTGAGTATATGCATCCGTGGTGTCCTCATCAAAGCATGTAGTGGCCTCAAAGATGGGTTGGGACGAAACCTTCATAAGAAAGTTAAAAATTAATTAATGTCAGCTCATTAAGGAAAAGAAAACAAATTGAAATTTTAAAGTAATACAAAAATACCTGCGCCTGTGGTAGATCCGCATCAACCGCCGGGGATGAGGCATAACTCAACCTGCGCCCGCCATCCACGTCCCGGGTGGGCCGATCCTCAGCTGCGATAGATGGGCATGCAAAGTACTGGTCTACATCCCCGTCGAATGTACCCGTGATCGACAATGCTCCTGACGGGGTGACCTGCGATGCTGGCAGAGATAGCTGAAGGCTGAACAACGGCATGCTGCTGGAAGGCTCATCTACCTGAGGTCCATAACCCGGCTGATCATCTCCAAGAGCCTCATCTCCAAAATCCTCATCATGTCCCTCAACAGGTGGGCCAACAGGTGCCTCATAGCCCCTGTCACGACCCTAGTTCGCCCTCCGTGAACATGTCGTGACGGCACCTAGTCCCTACGACTAGGTAAGCCTAACAATGCGGAAGATAAACCATAATTGCGGAAGAAAGTAAATAAAACTGAACTAGTAAAATAAAATGGTGTTTAAGGTGCCGCTCGGCACATACCATAACAATTCTCGAAGCTAACAACATTCCCAAAACCTGGAAACTCACAAATCACAAGCTAAGGGATACATAAGAGGCTCTGACTCAAGAATATCTATACAAAAGGAAAATACTGATAGAACTATACTTATTACAGAAGATAGAAAGTGACTCTTCGGTCTGCGGACGTAGCAGATACACCTCGAAGTCTCTATAGAAACGCCTCCTTCCCAGGCTGACAGAACTGAAGGGGAGTACCTGTATCTGCACAACAAAAATGTGCAAAAGAGTAGCATGAGCACACCACGGCGGTGCCCAATAAGTATCAAGACTAACCTCAGTGGAGTAGTGACGAGGAACAGTCAAGGCACCTACCGGTCAAATAAACAGTATAATCATAGGAATAATGGAACCGATATACAAATATGTAAGGTCTGCATGAATGACTAAAAATGCTACTATTCCCAATAAGGAAAAGAGGACAACAAGTAACAACGAGAATATAATAAATGATGATACGAAATGACGGCAGAACTACAATCCAAATCCTAAGGTCACAACACAGCAAGGGGAAAAACAAGTCAATAACTCATATCCTACAATGATGTTCACATAAGGTCTTGTTCAACTCTTCCCACAATTCTACCAAAAATCTCTGACAAACCACAACTCACGAGAAAACCCAGCATCTGAAATCTAACACTTGGCATCCTGTGCCCCATCAATCTCACGGTCATGCTGACAACTAACTGGCTAACTAGAACCACTCTCACATATATAATGGACGAACGAGGGCGTATCTCCACCCTTAACAAAATCGAAAGGAATTCACCTCTAATGGGGTGTCCAACTACGTGTATGCTTGTGCAAGTGTTTTTGACAAGGATTTTTCCCAACTGGTAAACATGAAAAGGAGAACGGACTGCACGTACGAATGTTTCCTCACAACTTCCAAGCGGTAAAACTCATACAGGTAAACAACCCACAATCACAATATTAAACAAATAGGAATGCCTCCACAGACCGTCACAATTCTTTACAATCAACCCCTGACATAGCCCACCTTATTACGCCACCCGTGCAAATAATAATATAATAGGCACCGCCTTATTTCGCCACACGTGCATCACAATGTTCCCACCTTATTCCGCCACATGCGCAACCCACATATAAGCATATAACATATCCCGCCTTATTACGCCGCATGTGCAAAACATCAATAGCAACAATAGCATGGCAAAGACCTCGTGCAACCCTTCAACAACAACCTCACGGCAGAGACCTCGTGCATCACAGTACCAACAGCCGCACGGCAGAAACCTCGTGCATCATAGTATCAACGACCGCACGGCAGAAACCTCGTGCATCATAGTATCAACGACCACACAACAAATGACAATATATACAGGAACAAAGCAAGAGAATCAACTCAGGTATTTCCATTCACCAAAAGACGGCACAACTAACTCATAAGGAATAACCGTAACAGAGAAATACTAAGCGCAATAAGAACAACTCAACAAGGGAGAAATAATACGAAACAACAATTCCATAATAATCAGTTCAACAATAAGGAAATTAACATAAATCAATTAATTACCATTAAGGAAATGTCAACTAAACATAGGATATCTAACTTCTTTCCAATTAAGACCAATTAATTACACGAGAGATAGAATTAATGCTTTCCAGATAAAGACAAGCAGTTAGGAATGATAATGTGACTATAGAAGGGTAAATGTCCACAGTTAAACAAGTAAAAGTCAATTAGGCAACAAGAATAACCAAAAAGGGCAGATAAATTCCAAGTAAGTCATGTAGAGGTGAAACTAATAACAGAGAACTCCATCGTATCAAGAACAACTTCATATTCGGTGATTACAAGGACCTAAGAGCCTAAAATGGGCAATTTTCCACAAATAAATCCGAGCACGCACTCGTCACCTCGCGTACAAGGAATACAATCAACAAAGAAGACTCAAATCCTAAGGGGAAGTCTCCCACACAAGGTTAGGCAAGATACTTACCTCGAACCGGCTAAAATCAACTAGCAACCACGTTCTTGCCACGAGTACTCGACTCCAAAGGGCCCAAATCTATTCA